GTAGGCTTGCCGTAGCTAAACGGTTGTTAAGGTTCTCAGTCCCTTAACACGGTGCTCATTTGTTGGAATCTGGTTCCGTTAGACTCGCTAACTATCCGAGCTTTTTACTCGTGAGCTAGAGCTGATGACAATAGACAAACAACATACATACGCAAGAGTATTTTTACGTGATTCTACTCTCAGGACAGTGAACCCACTACTAAATCGAAAGGTTGTCATGCTGACCGAACTCAAGTCATCAACTTGGTTATTCACAACCTTGTCTCGCTGTTGCATTAAACTTCCCAAGAAGAGAGTCCCATGAGGTTCATGGGCTCTCTCGAGGAGGGCCACTCAGCGCGTAGGTAGCATTTTCACCGAGGCTTGACCACTCAAAGAATTAGATCTCTTGTAGATTAATGCTTTGGTCAGAAGAAATGTAGCGACGGCTATTCAAGTTCAGTGGGTGTTTGCAAGCTTCATAGAGGTTTTAATGTAGCACGTTTCCGTTTTAGATGGGTTGTGTCGTCACCATTGCTGTTCTTGTGCACCCACCTAGCTTACGGACTCTATGTGCCGTTGCCTAGTCTGGCAACGTCAGATGCAGATCCGAACCAGTTGTTTATCTTTTCTACTTTTGCTCTTATTTTGTTCCCGTTCAGGCCTTTGGACAATGCTTCATCTCATATCGCCCCTGGTTACTCTGGCCCCAAACGTCACTAAAACGTTGAAATCGGGTGCCTTGGTTATCGTATACTCGGTACAGTGACAGTGCATGTTTTCAGCACTACCTTATGCATCTGTGATACCGTTGGCTTTATACCAGTCAATACCGCCAGTTGCTTACTAAATAAAGTCTTCCACCAGCAGAATTCCCTTTTCTAAAATGGATTGCTATGAATGCTTTGTTTGATTTGTGTGGGTCTGTAGCAGCAAATCTGTTTATCTCCGTTGTTTCGGCTCTCTCGTAAAAATAGACACCTCAGATTCGGAATTGACATAACCGCGCTAATATGCTAGCTGGTTGTATGTTTCGTACCACATTCTTTCACTTGGCTATTATCATGGAATAGTCCATCTTTGATTGTTGGCCAGATGGCCGTTGCTCTGTCCACCGAGCCTGGCGATTGAGGTGACATCATCAGTGCGCGGTTGGCTAGGTACCTCCTCTTTGCCTGGTTGAGTTTATTCAGTCTTTCAAGAGTATCTGCTGGGGCAGTTGGCTTATTAATTCTTTTTATGTAATTCGATTGGTTTATTTGCGATTTGTGTAGCGTTGGGGTCCCTATCCCTCGCGTTCAATTGGATATGTTCTTTCCGATAGATTAGGTTGCTTTCATTCGTACGTGCACAGTTTACGTTACCGTATGTGTTCCATCTCCTAATTCGATTGGCTATCCGATACCTTTTTCTGTTTTCCTCTTCTCTGTTTTGATGGATCAGCTCTCAATTTGGATTAGTTTATGGTAGGATTCTCTTGAGTTTGATTGGCCGGTTGTTAGTTTCAACACAATGTCCTCGGGTTAGACCGGTTAATCAAGTGCCTTCGTTAAATATGGCCCTGTCAACTAGTATATAACCGCGGATGTCGAATGGGGGTCACTGTAGAAAGAAGTCCTTCGCAAATTTTTCATCATACACTGGACTTTATATTTCGTGTTCATTGGAAAGTATTATAAATGAGGTGCACCGATAGGGCCTCAAGCTTCAGGGCTTATCACAGAAATCTCAGTGCAAAGACAAACGAATTTTGTTGCATGGTATAAATGCAGGAATATGGGTCCGTTCATTGGTTGTGTTTCTGTCGTCACCTAAAACAGTGAACTGAATCGAATCATCATCGTTACCAGGAACAGCAACACTAATGTTGACTTTACTGCTTCACTGCTGTAGAATCACGGTTTATTCAATCATATCTGGAGCCTTGAAGTGAAGAAAGAACTGGTTTTGCGGAACCGGAAACTCGCACTGACCTACACAAGCACTTTAAGGCACATACATCTCAGCGCCCAATCAGACAGTTTGGTAAGAAACCAGAAACACGTCCACCACTGCCATCAGTTGGACAGCATTTCTTGCAACATCCCCAGCGGCTTGTAAACCACAACACAACTCCCATCGCCAGTGAGTCAATGGAATTACCTGAAAAATTCCCCAACTAGCTAATCAAATGATTACATTTTCTTTGGAAACTGAATCAAGACAAGCAGGAGTACCCAGTCAACCACTTATCCGATGATGTCTCCTCGATTGGTGACGGAACGTTTAGAAGCTGATTGCCAAACTCATCGAAAAGAGCACCATCCATGTGATGAACAACCCATAAATGTACTCGAGCTATCAGTGTTTCGGTATATTGATAATTCCATCTCTACCAATCTTTCCTGTAACGACCATTATTCCACTACGGGTGTGTGGCTCACCGCTGATAGTCTGCACAGGAATACACCTGGAGGCTGTGTTTTAGTTGGAAAGAATAAAATCGCTTTGTTTCTTGAAGGATAGTGCTTATTTTCAACGTTTATTCGATGACGCTTCTTGAGCACCTCGCATACGCCACGTATCCGACTTTCTGTAGCTGGCGTTTGTTTTACCGCTGTGAGCAGTAAATGAATACTTATCCAGTTTCAAATATGTGCCACGGTACTTTAGTTCAAGCTGCTGCATCTTTATTCACCGGAGATTGGGGAGCGACTGGAAGACAGACAGTGTAATGTGCTGCTGGACCTCATGCTTGCAGGTGAACCGATCAATCTAATAGATAAGTATGTTTGTCTTGACGGCTGAATCAGTCCCGACAGTCCCGACCTCCAAAATTGAGAGGTCCAGGGCAGCATTTGCTATTTTACGACATGTGACGTACACCGGTGTGACGTCAGCTTGACTGTCATGGGTAGAGTACACAGTGCGGCTATCCGGTCTGTCCTGCTTTCTGGATTAGAGATATGGTCTCTGTGTTTGGAAAACGTTCTAAAGCTCTCTGTGTTTGATCATAAGTGCTTCCAATGCATCCCGTAAATCCGGTGGGAACACTATGTCAGCAATGCTGAAGTATGCCAGGCGGTTTTCGGGAATATTTATTCTCCATCGATAGATCAACTGATTACACTCCGCAGGTTACATTGGTTAGGCCATATAGTTCGTATGCCACAGAACCTTTCGCCTCGTAGTCTTCCCAGCTCTGCCTTGTGTCGGATGGAGACGACCGAGAGCCAGTCGGTCCGTGACTGGGTGACATAATATGAAAGCCCTTACCAGTTAACTGAGTCACGTTGGTAACTGCCGTCTCCCTGGATGGGGACAGCGGGACAAGACAAACATTACCCCGAAAGATATGGCTGTGTCATGCAGCCAATGGCGGTCTTGCGTCAAAGCAGTCACCTTCACTGCCAAAGCGGGTAAACAGAGCCGCTCAACGTCCTTGAAGTGAATGGGCCATCACTTCCCACGCGTGGCTCATTCCCTTATTCTCCTTATCTTCGGCGAACGAAGCTGCAGTAGCTGGAAGCATTGCACTTCGGTGCACGGTTTATCAGGTTTACACTGAACGTAGATGAGCCATGCATCGGGGTGATAGCCCGTAGAGTTGATTGACGTTTCGCTTTCTACAGAGAAGAGAAGCCAGAGCGACTACGCACCGAAGACGATGAGTGCATTTGACCCCTGAGGCTGCCTGCGTAATTGCGCCATGTTTACAACTGTTCGTAATTATTCGTGTTTTCGTGTCGAGATCACATGCCTACTTCTCTGAAGGACTTGCTCACCCCCTTCACAAGAGTCGAAACTTGCAGGAGGACACAGTGACTTTATACGGATTTCGCTACGGATCTCCCTCTATCGAGAAAGTCAGCAGGTGACCATTCTTCAGACGACTAGGTAATAGCCTAGGTTCATCATCGGTTTGCAGATTTATGCACCGAACTAGACTTCACCTTATGTCTACGCTTCCATTACAACCTCTAGTTTATCAACTATTTACCATGTACAAAGAGTACGTTAGTTCCAGCTGCTACAGTTTCGGTCACCGGAAAATGGAATACCGTGGGAGATATACTCAAGCATAGCATAATCAGTTAGTTCGGGGAGCTGGGCAGCTACACATTGATGCACGAGTACCACTGAGTGCTTCCTTGAGCCATGTCTGCTAGTGCCATCAAATATTCATTAGTTGAATCCCGGAGTCCCCAACCAGGTTGAGTGTACTGCTTAATGTTTTCATACTTCGCTGCCATGTCATAGACTGTCCACCTCTTGGTCGCGCCAACTCAGGATAGGACAGCAAAAATAGCTCTTCAAGGCAACCGGTTCTCTGGCATGTGAAGTACATATCCTAACCAGTGTAACCTGTGAAGCATGATTTACTCATCCATTACTGGAGAGTTCTTTTTTCTAGAACCGTTTGGCGTCGCTCAACAATGTTAATCCGATTTTCCCACCAGATCCGACCAATGATCAAACACTGATAACTTTCGTGTTTGAAGGCCGCGTTTCTGACCCATAAACTTATATGGATTACACCGCTGTAGTGTATACGCCGCTCCCTACATACACACTGGTGCCATAGGTGTCGGAACAACTTTTTTTTACTCTTGTGCAGAAGGCCGTGTACCTGACCAAACCACAGGCTTTCCAGTATCACTAATTGACAAAATGGATGGATAGCTAATTGGCACAGTTGCCTGTAGACTTTAGATTATCAAAGACACTGGCTGAAAGTGGCTCGTAAAAGGATGTTTCACAGTGAAATTTAATCGACCCATTGCAGTAAAATCTTTCTCCGCATGCCCAGCCTTAGCTTCCGCCTTTTCTCGGAAGTTTCACCAGTACGCAATAACCCTCCGCTACTTCGTGTTTCAGACATCGAAAATTTTTCCCTCAACTTTTTGCAGTTTACCATGTTACAGTTTAATCAGTAATGCGAGACCTACTTTACACTATGCGCGTTTAGCCCTACCGTCAGTGTTGACACTGATGCTTCACTGCCGTACAACCATAAAGCCCGTTCAATACTTAAGGCCCTAAATGGAGAAAAAAGAGAATAAGTGGGTGAGGAAGAGGACCTATTGCTGGCCTATGTCAAGCACCCTGAGCTGTCTACACCTCCAAGTGTTCAATCAGATAATCTAGAAAGAAACTGACAGCACCAGTACTCTCGTGCCGATGTTGCTGTCTGCATTGATGGTCTTGCTGTGCTCTGGTTTGTTTACGACTATTCATTAATTTTTGATACTGTAACACTGTCGTTCCTATCAACCCACAGCGGTATTGTGCATTGCACAAGCATCCAACGGGTGGGGTAAGGCGCTGGGTAATATCAGAATGAAATTCACCGTACAAGTCACGGATCCGGAAGAACAGAACTCACCTCCTATGTCCCCAATGCTGAAACGCATACTATCATCTCGTGTTGTGTATGCAGTATCTCTCCCACCTCCAAGACGGAAGAATGGCATCTGGAAGGTAAGGTTCTCCCTTCTGATCGCCCACTTCACTACGACAAGGGTCATAATATTCTTTCGTCTTTTTCTCACCGTTAACGTAACGCAATCCTGATTATCCGAACATCTTTCCTCAGGTACATACATGGATGCTACTCGGCTTGATCATTACAGGATTCCTCCTTCTCTGGTTGTCGTTCACGCACCTAGGACCCATAGGGGAACGGTTTTTGCCAATGAAATCTTCGCTTCCCACCTCATCCATCATCACACCATACAAGGACACCAACGCACTGGACGCAAGAAAACCACACTATTCGGACAATCTGTATGGTGTTGTTTTTGATGCTGGGAGCACCGGTACGCGTGTTCACGTTTTCGAACTCAGTCGGGAAAACCCAAGTAGGTTTTTAATTTTTGTCCATCTCGAGGCATTTGATGAACCTTGGTGATTTTCAGCTTGTCCTTCTGGTTATTCGCTAGTGGCATATTTCACTGTTAATTTAAACATGTGGCCTTGATATCCATAACCTTCGTCATAATACCACTCACCCTAGCCCTTTGTCAACCGTCATACCAGCAGTATACGGTAGTGGCGCTAGCTAAGCCTTGGCGAAATACGTCAGTGCGTGACTGAGTGCTCCAACGTTCTTTGTGTCTTTTGTGGGGCGGAACGTTCATTTGCCGTCACCTGCTTGCCGTCGTTTTCCAACAACGAAGAGGATATGCTTTTCAAATTTGTTAATGATATGCAGAAAGGATGACACCTTCGAAAGAGTCAAAATCTCCCGGGTGATGCCTGTTTTCTTTCGGAATGGAGTCGCTATACGTATGAAAATGTTCTTGATACACACAGAAAGCGTGGGGAACGTTTTCTGCTCACTGTATTATCAAATGGACTGACTTCTTATCATCGACGGCTTGCATTTTGATCTATTGGTGTGTCTATTCTTTTTTGGACCAAATTTCCCTACTGTATGCACACAGTTCGTGACAAAGTTTGATGTGGTTGAAAACACGATTCACATGTAACGAATACCGTCGCTTGCCTACATGTATGCAAAGATCCTTTAGGAAAAAGTTAGTCTTAATATTTTCTTCAAGGATTCATTTTTGGAGCCAATGCCAGAAGACTTTCGACTAAAGGTCGACTACTGCAAAGATTTGCGTCACCAAAAGTTATAGCTCATTGGTTAAGGCGCCAATTTGATGATCGGAATGACCGCGGTTCGAACTCATTCCCGGCTGCTCCTGTGTAGGTTTGGGCAATCTAACAGTATCTCTGTCACCATGCTTCCTTCAAGTGGCATGGCCGATAGGCACTGAGTGGTTATTTATTTTTATTATTAAGTCACCCGAATTAGCCAGACGCACCAATTAGAAACACCATTGGGAGTCCGTAATGTCCAGCGGGACAAATAGATCCGGCAAGTTCAGGGATTATTTGTAGGTGGTTGTGGGATATGTGGAATCCACGTTCATATTGCTATCGTTTGAGCAGTCTTGCTTCTGTCCTGGCTCATCGATCCCGGCAAGTCCGCTCCAAATGTGGGAAGCTCTTATTAGAGCTCAGAAGCAATGTGTATGCTTCTTCTTGGCAAGATTTGAGCTCCGGACATCTGATATACAGACTGCACCAGTGCACGCTTTACGCTTTACAAGTGGGCATCGGTGTCTAACCTATTTCTGTCGTACCAAGCAGTCTGCTTGATGGCATCCCTCGTGGTCTGGTCTGGTAGTAAGGTAATAAGTTTGAGTTAGACGCTCTTGTTTGGTTAAACTGGGACAGCTTTGCATATGTTCATTTGAGGGTATTTTGTTGATCCTTGCCCGCCACAACATCGGTGTTTAAAACAAGCTATCGGGATAACTCTCACTGAGCAACATTCTATCGACGAAGAGGACGATGTGAAACAGCCAATTGATTCCGCTGTAATTTTAGCGCTGTGTTTTGAAAATATCTTGTAAAGATTTCACTAAATGAACTGGTTTTGTCCTCACTTGTTAGGATATCCAGGCGTTTTGAGTTAAAAAAAGAATTCAATGATAAATCCTAATAGGAAACAATGTGAAAAGTTTCACGGTTAGAATGACCTGAAAGTGAAAAATAGAAAGAATCTACTGGATGCACAAAATCAACCAACGTTGTCTAGTATATTCAATCGTTCGAACTCAATCCACTTCGGTAATCACGTGTTTGAGGTTGGGGCATTCCGAACAGACTCGATAAACTTGGGTGGTAAGTAGTTAATGCGGAAAATTTCCGGATATTTTGCCAGTAGATTGTCGACAAAATGGATTTTGAACTTATATTCAAAAGAACGGGCTTCATGAACTGGAACGGTTTTCGTCGATCTCAAGAATTCTTTTTTTTTGGGGATCGTTTGACGATGCCAGCGTAGGATTTCTCTGAATCCAGCTCACTGACTCGGGACAGTCATTACTAGCCTCCCCACATTGTCCTCACGTAACGGTCGGTGGTTGAGCTCTGTAGCACTGGGTTCATTACAGCACCCTACGTTGTCTCCTTGGTGTCACAGCGCCTAAATCCCATGTTTCTGCCTGGGTGAATAAAAGTTGAAACCACAGTTTTCTCCGTTGTGTCATCCCCTACTGTTCTGAGTCTGGTCTCTGTCTGGAACATTCTTTACTTTTTCATACAAGATGAAGCATACACACTAACCGATGAGCTTTTCGAACAAGTAAATCCCGGCTTGTCAGCCTATGCAGACTCGCCGGAAAAGGCTGGTGCAAGCCTGGATCCCCTTCTACGGGCAGCCGAGGCTCGAGTTCCTCGCGGCTGGTGTTCCAATACGTCTGTGGTGCTCCGAGCAACCGCCGGTCTCCGATTGTTGCCTCTCGACAAAGCCGACGGCATATTAAATGCGGTAAGTACTTCTTCTCCTTGTTCTCAAGTGGTGCTCATCCGTTGGTAGTTTATCGGCAATGGTCAGACGGGGAAGCGAGGATGGATGGGGTGCAAGAACCTTTCCAAAGTGTGTTAGCCACACGTAGTTATGCTCTAGTCCTCTAAGTATTCCATGTCAATCCGGTTTGCCGGCGATCGTCTTTCGATAGTTTGTCGAAATTTCTAGAGAAGCAACAAAACCTGACTCTGAGAGTCTCAGGGGAACTAGTTCGTGAATCGGTTGACACCCGTCTAGTTAAAACTGTCTAAATGTATCCTAGGAGTGACTGGTCCTGGTGAAAGATTTCCGTCTTAGTCCGGTTTCGCTTTCCTCAAAAATGTTGTCTGATTCCTTCTATATACACCCACAGTCGCGTTTCCAGTTGCACTGAACATCTTGGTTCCGTAAGTTTGAACTAAACCGAACCTTGGGGGAAGTAGGGTTATACTGACAATGCCGGTTGTCGAACAGACAGGTCTCATTCCTTCAGAATGAGACTGGTGGCTCGCTCACAATACACAATACAGTCGCGGATTAACCCACATTTCAGAGCATCCTACAGTGCAGTCAGTAGCGCTTCCACGTAAACTTTGCTGGATTCAGCCACAGTTGGTTATGGGGACTGGGACTGGCCGAACTAACCCAAGAGCATGACAAGCCCAATACATTTTTCCTTGTTTTCTACCTTTCCACGAATTTCATTTAAGTGCCTTGAGTATGTCAATTTAAAAAACGCTGGCCTATATCTACACTATCCTGACTAATGCCGCCAGGCTTCATTAGTTCCTCTTAGTTGGAGCACCTCACATGAATGGTAAACACACTGTCCACACCAATCAAATAGTCATCTAGACATCTATCTCTAAACAAGTGTCCAGCGTACTTCAACATCATTCCGACCAGCAACTTTCAGTCCTTTTTCTTATAACTGTCTTAAGTACTCTTTCTCTTCTCCATAAACCTCACTCCTAGGTTCGTCAGAAGCTATCAGGGTCTTGTTTGGTAAAAACACCGAACTCTGTGTCGATCTTGGATGGTCACCAAGAGGGTTTGTATTTGTGGATCAGTCTCAACTTCATGGCAAATCGTCTGCCTAGTCCTATCGGGTCAGGAATCACTGTATCTGAAACTGCCCTGGATCGCACTTTCGGAACATTGGATCTGGGCGGTGGATCTACGCAAATCACCTTCGCTCCGGTCAGTTTGGACGTGCTGCTTCGAGCCCCACCCGGTTTTGCCACTGCTATTGACTCTGGTGAGGTCGTCTTGTCGAAGGACCAGATTCTTCCGGGAAAACACGTAAGTTAATTGGACAGATGTATAAAAAGGCAGTACTCATCCAGCTGTAACACCCTTTCGGTGCCTAACTGCCATGTCACTTGAAGGAAGCAGGAGGATGAAGACACTGACAGGTTTCCCAAGCCTAGATAGAAACAGTCGAGATGTTGAGGTTGGGTTCGAACCACGGATCTTCCGGCCAATATGTTGTGAGAATTACGTCTCGTCAGTCTTCCTGGTTGACACAAATCAAGCGTCCGGGTAGAACTGGTAAAATTCGCCCTCCGAATGAGCACAGTTTTCACACACGAATAGCTACGCTTGTGATTTGCGTAACATATGAACGACTATGAATCGATCACGAATTGTCATAGGCCTCGTTGATCTCGAAAAATTTATCATCATCGTTATTTAATGGCTAAGCAAATATGGAGCCCTTTTAATTGCCTCAGCTCTGTACTGCAATTCCCAACAAAATAGTTCGGCTTGGGGATGGTTGTTTTATATGGGTGGTTTCATCAATGAGACTGACCATTGCACATTACTGATGATTTGTTCTCACACCAGTCATCGCATGAGGATGTTCTACAAATGTGTCATATACCATCGCTTGTGTGAAAATGATTCTAAAAAAGTTCGAGCACGATTTATCCTTTGCTCTTTTTTCGCTCAAGACAAACCACATTGCAACACGATCCAGTCTGGCCCCGAAGCACTAAAAATTCGCATCTACCCAGACGTCGGAGACCGACTAAATCAAGGTTTTTGTCATGCTAGCTTCATTCGCTCGCCTATCTGCGGCCGTTTCTGAATACAGTGTTTTTTGTGTATAGTCTTTCTACGTCGACTCCTAGCGGGCTCGCTCAAAGCACAACTCGAACACGTCATTACAAACTGAAGCAAGGGATTGTTCACTATAAAGGTTACTGCCAGATCACTTTTTGATGCTGTTCCAAATGGCGTGTTGTGAAAATGTGCCTTTATTCTCCAACTGAGGAGTGAGGTGGTCTTTGTGTAGCACCTTCATTTGAGGAATATTCTAAACGAGAGGTTCACTTGGATTTCCTGTTTAACACCCACAGAATTTACGAATGAGTTTTTATCGGCATGTGTTCGGTCTGATATTTAAGTGACAGGTTTGGTGGGTTTAGGCTACCTAATGAGTATCAAAAAGAACGAAACCGGTAATGGACTATCCAGAGTTCTCACTTACCTAATGAGAAATGGTGATTAAGCAAAGTCCACCACAGTCAGGTGACTGTGGTTTTAACGTTTCACAAATCATCAGATACGAGTGTCGCGAAACCATTATTGCTACGTTAGGGTGATTCTTTCTGTAAAAATACTCGGGCAGTGGTGATGGCCTTTAACGGAAATTTACAATGGGCAAATTTCCGTGTTGTTCGAGATGGAGGTGTGTTCCACAATGCTTATTATTTATCCAACTATTCGTCGAATTAAATAATCTGACGGATTGGGACCGATTGGGCTGTTTTTCACTCTTTATAGTTCTTCACGACGTACCTGACAATTGGGAATCCATGAGTTTGAATTTAACTTCGCGCCTTTGCGCGTTCAGTTCTCGCAAAACTCAAGCCACATGAGGAATTTCGCGCTTGCTTGGACCCAGTAGTCGGATCGTCTAACATAGTAAAGAGATATTTTGATCAGTCAGCACACCAATCAAATTCTCTAGCCGCTCCGACTATTCAGTAGATGCTTGATTCTGGCTTCAGTTTCGTGTAATCACGTAACCTGCAAGTGTGCTCTCATAGAAAGCTATGTTGGCAGATAGAAGGGACTTAGATTACCATTTCATCCCGATTCAGAATCATCATCAGCGCGCATCTTTTACTTGTGTGTTCCGACTGGAACCTCAAACATTGTATGTGGACGTCTACGTGAAACTGAATCGTATTTGTATAGACTTTGTCACCGGTCACGCCTGTGGCGCCATTTGGCTTTCATTCAAGGTTGTAACCTAGTGTGACATGCAAAATAACTCGATATCGAGCTATGTTGAACGTTATCGAGGTCTTGGCATTTAGACTGAGAGTTCACCCTATTGGAGGTCTAGAGTAAAGTACTCCTGTAGGTGAGAAACTATAATTGGTTGTTTATCCTGCTTGAAGCAGCTATTACAGGGCCTAGAAATTAATGTTTTCGTGCATATATTTTATTCTGGATCCAGCTGCACAATGCCTGGAATTGATGAACCGTATGGATGATCATGCAGATAGAGAGGACACTGCATACGATTAGTCTCACGTGACCTAGGGCGACTTGCGAAGCACACTGTTAGGGTACGGTCGTTTTCACATTCAAGCAGGTTCTCGAAGCCACTACTAAAAGCTGGGTATCGATTGAGAACCGAGGACAGAAGCGACCAGTTTCGATGACTGAGTACTAGTCTTCTCGTTACACCCCATGCATCCGCCCTCATCGTCATTTTCATTTTTTTATGCACACAAATCAGATAACGGTTATCATCATCATTATCAGCTGTAATAACCGCTTACTTGTCGTACAGTAGTTGTAGCTGCCACAGTTTCGTTCACCGATGATTCGAGGAGGTGGGGTAGGTAGCTGCGCATTGCGCGCGCGAGCTGGTAAATTGGTGCATAAATCCAGCACTGTCAGTGGGTTGTCAAGCGGGGGGTGG